AACTTTCACCACTGACATCGGTTTACTTACAATGAATCGAACATTGATTGATCGTCGGCCCTGTACCGTGTTGGCATGTATAACTAATGTGTCATTTGTAGCCCGGCGCGGTGGTCTGACTGACTCTGAGTCACGGATAGGTATAAGCTGCTCGGTCTCCGCCTCATATCGCCGTGCTGCTAGGTGGCCGCACGGAGCGGAGGAACACAGACCAGATGCAGCACATGCCACCGCCAAAACGGGCTCCGGGCGAGAGGAGGCGGGTGCACGCGCGCCGCTAGGTACCCAGCTGGGCGGAGCGGGGGATTGGGGCTGTGGCCGGCCAACAGATCGTATTATACGGGTGGTACAGATCACACACACGACCAGCTAACAAAGATCGTTCACACGGCCTCAAATCAAAGATCGTTCAAACACATGCCGTCCAAAAATGGTTCACCGGAGGCGTGCCAGCGATGGAACGCAGAGGAATAATTGTGAACTGTGCTTAGATGCATCATATGCCTATGGTATGTCCGTAAATGAATGGGCTCAATTGAAAAATCGTTCACTGACCAAAGATTGTTTTCCGACCAATGATCACTTGCATTCAGTTTATCCAATAAAAGACATTTGAGTGCACCACGCAAAGATCAATTACACGCTCAACAACCAAAGATCGCTCACACGGCCCTTGACGAAATATCATCCGCGCAAATGATCAGATCGCGATAAGATCAGATTATGAGACGCTGGCGCTGACAAAAGGCTACCGGACGAGCAGTGTTTATGTTCACCTTTCGCTAAACAACACTGAACAGTGACCACAGACCATGTGTCTAGCAGGCACGTAGCTAGGATTTGGCCAAGGGAGGGGCGGAGGAATCCCGGGGGCCTCCTTTCTACAGAGGGCCTCCTCCCTAAAGGGGCCTCCTTTCTACAGGGGGTCTCATGCCTACATAATTACATATACAATACAACATAACGCAGACTTTTGTTCAGCTTTGATATGGCCAGCGCCATGGTATGTTTCTTTATTCTTATTTCTTACCGCTGTCGCGGTAAGAAACATACGCATATCACAAGTCTCCGAGTGGCATGGTAACTGGCAAAAAAAAACTCGGGCGCCGGCGGCGGCCGGACCGCAGCAGGAGGGGGGGGGGGGGATCTGCGAGGAATGGGTGGATACTGGATGACGGTCAGAGTAACTCTTATTGTATTATCATATTACATATATCGTTCAAGCGCTTAACCGTATTCCGGGCGGGCTCTGAAAGACTCTGAATCGGGCGGGGGCCTTTTTGGCCCCCGTCAGAACTCGAAAGCACGAATCGTAGCGACAAACGGCAACGGCGTTTGATAGTTCGTTGAACGACTTACAACTTTTGTAAACAACTTTTTTGAGTCAGGTCAATATTGAGGTCGCCAGAGGTCGTAACAAATAACATGGTTTATAACGACCTACATAGATAGGTCAACTTCAAAATCTGACCTAGGAAGGTCACGCTGGGTACCAATCGGCGCGTCATGACCAGGCGAACGGTTTGGTACACTAACAACTACTTAGCCCCATCATGTCGTGATTGGCTAAAAACTGTTGATGACCTCACCTCACCTCAGATGATCCTTCCCGGTGCCCCTGTCAGTAAATGCCACCTGGGTGCTTACAGATCAGATAATCTGACGTAATTCAGAAAGAATTGGGTGGTTTTGACTCGTTTTCTCGAAGCAGGACACAGTTCATTATATTTTCCAATAGGCTTGTCACGATTCTGACCTGACTGACGTCTGCAAGATTGAAACTATACGGTTATCATTTTTTTTCTGTGTGAATAATGCCACGTTTACTTGCTGCAAGTAAAACATGGTTTCGTGAATTTTCCTAGGTTTAGGTGGTTTCCTTCATTTACGCCGTAGATGAAACAAACAATCGATGGATAGGTATATATCAATTTCCCGGTCAAATAAATTATTATGAGTTGTGCGAAGCATGGCTATGGGAATATCACCACGGTCTGATAAATAGGTACCTATATAACTATTACAGAAATGGGCTGCTGTGTTCATGCATTAACCCGCGCCCTGCCGGTTGGGGGGGGGGGGTGTTAAACACCCCCTGCAGTTTACCGTGAATATCTCAAAAACGGCGGCGCGGCACACTTTATCCTACATCATTTCTACACATGTTGTGAAAATTTCAGACCCTGGTCACTTAAAGTCAGGTCACCAGGACAGGTCAAATGACCTCACTACATAAAAAGTTTCAATGTCTGCCAAAGCTACACGGAGTGACCAAACGCTTTGAAACTTTCAGAGATGCAAATGTACAAGAGCGACAAAATGCAAAAAAAAATGTATGTTTTGGAATTTTGAAATCGATGACATAAGGTCAGGTCAATTTTGCGACCATAAATTGAAAGTCGCCTTTTTAGAAGGAAGTCATTATAAACACTCTAAAACACTGAATTACTAGTATCTTTGACACACTGAACATGAAAATGGCACCCGTGACCCCCTTTTAAACCCTGAGGTCATCTCAGGTCACCAATGGTATCTGACTTTTTCGCGAATAACTTTTGATAGAGGCATGCTAGAGCGATGAATACACCTTAGTTGTGTTTGGCTGGACGATGCGGATGGACTGATATGGAACTTAGCCCTTATCGGTCAGGTCATGACCTTGACCTGAGGCCAAATTTTCAAGTGACCTTTCAAGGTCAATTGATAGTTCATTCCACACGTCTTGACGAGAGGAACACGATGCTGGTAAAGGGAAGTTCGTGCAAATTTTGAGACGAAAGTTATTGCCGAAAACTGGTTTCCGAAAATATCGGCTATTTTGGCAGTTTTTGCGGCCACTGCAGGTAAAACCGTTGACGGCAAAACCGTTGACTGCACCCGGCATGATTTCTCTGAGCGCATTTATACAAAGAATTTGTCTACATAGGATAGGGTCTTCTGTTTACAGAGGACCTCCTCCCCTGTCCCTTCCTACAGTGGGCGGCGACGCAGTTGGGAGTCTATTCTGTACAGTTTCCTGAGTTCTCAGTTCTCACTATAGTGAGAACTGAGAACTCTCTATAGAGGGTAGCAGGGAACAGAAGCCAGAAGGTAATTTGCTTACAGTGGGCCTCCACTCTATGTACTTAATATACGACGCTGTCTTTGACTACCGGGGGGCCTCCTGCTCACAGAGGGCCTCTTATCTACAGAGGGCTTCCTCTCTACAGATTGCCTCTTATCTACAGAGGGCCTCCTCTCTGCTGAGGGCGTCTTTCTCTCCAGAGGGCCTCCTTTACCGAGGGCATCATCTCTACAGAGGGCCTCCTCTCTAGTCTCTACAGGGACCTCCTCTCTACAGAGGGCTTCCTATCTATGTAGGGCCTCCTCTCTTCAGAGTCTCGTCTCTACACAGAACCTCCTCTATACAGAGGACCTCATCTCTGCAAAGGGCCTCCTCTCTTCAGAGGGCCTTCACTCTACTGAGGGCCTCCTACCTACAGAGGACCTCCATTCTACTGAGGGAGTCCTCCTCTACAGAGGGCCTCCTCTCTTCAGACGATGTCCTCTCTACAGAGGGCCTCCTCTCTTCAAAGGGCCTTCTGATTTCAGACGGTTTCCTCTTTACAGAGGGCCTGCTCTCTACAGAGGGCATCCTTTTTACAGAGTGCCTCTTTTTTTACAGAGGGCCTCTTTTTTACAGAGGGCCTCCTTTTTGCAGAGGGCCTCCTCTCTACAGGGGGTCTCCTCTCTAAGGGGCCTCCTCTCTACACAGGGCCTTCTACCCACAGAGGGCCTCCTCTCTACTGAGGAGTCAGAGGGGCCCTAGCGGTCAGACACAGACACTAGTGGTTATTCACAGGAGATGAGAAGGGCCCTAGCTGTCACTTGTCAGGCAGGTCAGAGGGCCCTGATTGTTCTGACGTCATTTTTTAGATTCCCGCGTGAATTTCGTTCGCCTCCGACGTGATTTTGGCCAACGTGGGCCTTCGGCCCACGTTGGATTCAGGCCGAAAGGATTCAGGCCAACGTGGGACTTCGGCCCACGTTGGCCTGAATCCTTTCGGGGGGCCTCCTGGAAACCTCAAGGGAGGGGCGGGCGCCCCCTCCGCCCCCCCCCCCTTGGCTACGTCCCTGGTGTCTAGTGACCTCTGGTTACTGACCACACTGATCAATGACCATAGTAGTGATACTGATAACTGACCACAGGTCACATACCATGTCTAGTGACCTCTGGTTACTGACCACACTGATCAATGACCATAGTAGTGATACTGATAACTGACTACAGATCACAGACCATGTCTAGTGACCTCTGGTTACTGACCACACTGATCAATGACCATAGTAGTGATACTGATAACTGACTACAGATCACAGACCATGTCTAGTGACCTCTGGTTACTGACCACACTGATCAATGACCATAGTAGTGATACTGATAACTGACTACAGATCACAGACCATGTCTAGTGACCTCTGGTTACTGACCACACTGATCAATGACCATAGTAGTGATACTGATAACTGACTACAGATCACAGACCATGTCTAGTGACCTCTGGTTACTGACCACACTGATCAATGACCATAGTAGTGATACTGATAACTGACTACAGATCACAGACCATGTCTAGTGACCTCTGGTTACTGACCACACTGATCAATGACCATAGTAGTGATACTGATAACTGACCACAGGTCACAGACCATGTCTAGTGACCTCTGGTTACTGACCACACTGATCAATGACCAGAAACAGCCTCAAGTTTTTTTTTAACAAAGTATTATGGTACGTTTTTATTTGTATTTTAGCTGGAACTGACTAAGCTCTTAGAAAACTACGCCGACCTATATTTTCAACCGCCACCGATGCCGAGCGGTTTCCGAAAGCAGCGGAGTCAGCGGCCGGCGCGTTGGCCAATCAGGCGCGGCCTGGCCGGCAGCTGTGCGCTGATTGGTCGTTGTGTCGCGGGAGCCCGGTGCGGTTCCCACGGGTCGGGGCTGCGGCACTCAGTGGCAGCAGAGGCGGAGGGGGGAACGGGTGTGACCTGTGGGCAGCTGGGACCGGAGCCATGCACCACCGCACAGAGGTAGGTCACCGGCGCACACCTGGGGCCGATGGAGCCGGAACGCTACACGGAAACAGCAGCGCACGAATCCTTTTGAAGCTTCGCTGTTACGTTTCTGTGATAGTTATAAAGTTTGTACTTAATTAAGGTAAAATTAATGAAAATGGAAAATACTTCCCAACATATACATAACGAAGTATTCAGTTACCTTTTTCTATTGTGATATCTAGCACATTGCTTAAATATACCAAGTAAATACATGATCCGGTATATGGATCATAGACTAGGGTGTGCTTGAGTTCAAGTGACATGAGTAAAAAAAAGATGTTCAAATGTACAAAACTCGTATTGACGCACATCAGGGAAATAAGCCCTGCACGTGTAAGAAAAATGGACTCCTGTATATAACACAACACGAATTTTGCGTTCTCATGTAAGTCGATTTATAAAATATTTCAAATTGCCTTTCTGCATTCTGCGATACCCACGGGGTACCGGACTGCTATGGGAAGCCACCGCATACCGATAACCATGGGTACTGCTTACCAAGCTTACGACAGCGACAATCCATGTTTTTTAACAATGGCCCTGAATCATGAAGTAATCAAGCATAGCTTCTGTGACATTTTTACGGTATTGCTGCTTCTTCCTCATACATTACTGATGCGTCAGTTATAAAGCGTTCGCCCCGAGAAAAGTGTCGCCACACCTACACCAATTTTCCTCACTATTACACAGCCAAAGGTTATTGCTGGCGGTCACTGGGGTGTCCTAAGCTACAACGGGGTAAATGACACGTGTAAAACACACAAAAGGCGTGCTACACCGTATTTTAGGCCCGTGTTACACGTGGTTCAGAGGACGGTGGTGTGTCTGGTCATTATTTCACGTGATATCACCTGCAACCACCTGGGCTAGTTTCTGGCTAGGGAAAATTACAGAGAAATGTGCTCGAGTGATGGGCGCGCTGGGTTCCAGAACAGCAGTAATGTTCAGGAATGTGTATTGTGAGCTGGGGCGAGAAAGTGAATACAATGGGTGTTTTCAGCACTATCCGCTGTTATCTAATTGGAACCATTGTCTAAAAATGCAGTGCCATTGCTGCGTACTCCGAACTTACTCTTCGGCTTGAGCATAGCTCGTTATCCCGATAGTAAGTTTGTCTGGAGTACTTCGGCGGCTTTTCATTGCATCATATTACACCGGTATTTTTCATTCAGCTTTCTTGCTACTTGAAGAATAAGGGACTGATAACAATCAGCTCTTGCCATGTCAACTGAAGCAGAAGTACATACGAAAGCCCGCCCATTTTTTTCTTACAGAGCCTTACAAATTAAACATGAAATGAATACCAAAGCGAATACCAAAGCGAACTCAACAACTTCAATTTCCCACGCTAGGATTCCTGCGAAAAGTGGCAATGTTCGGCTAATCTGCGTCACCTCTCCATGTTGGGCGTGTTTGTCGTGTCCAGCTGTGTCGCGTGCTCCCGCCCGGTCTGATCCGGCCTGGGATCCTCCCTGCCGGGCCACCACGGCCGTACATCAGTCGCCGCCGGAGGTGTACTGCAGGCGTTCTCACGTGTTCACGGGCCAGATGATCCGATTAACACCATGTTGCATGCATGTTCACGGCGGCGGCGTTTAGTGTTCTTTTTTTGTGTGAGTATTTTAGTGTAGCAGTCAAAACCTGGCAATCAGCTGATAGCCACTTGAGCTGGGGTTAACCCTCGCCGGCACAGGTCATTTTGTGTCCTTCGAGGGCACAAGGGGGTGGGGTAGGTGACCCCCCCCCCGCGTTTGACCCCTGATCGAGCTAGATCTTTGCGGAAAAAACGAGCGCGTTGCCCGTCATGAGAGGAAGCCGACGCCCCCAATTTTAGGATACCACGTCATTGGTTGACCTTTCAGGTCAGATCAATGACCCAAAAGTCGGGAAAATCGGGACTTGTTAGAAAGGCGTGAAGTGTGACTGTTATGAGGGTTTTCGGGGTGCTGATCACGAATATCGTGTTAGTTTTGATCACAGATGAGTCTTTAAGTATTTAAACCAGGTCGGGTCAGGTCAGGTCAGGTCAACCAGTAGGGGTCGTGACGGGTATTCGTAGTACGTGTCAACCGCCTCTGACAGATTCGTAACATTGTACGAAGGCACCAAAACTACCTCGCAAATGTTCAAATGGCTGCTAAATTCGAATTTAGCTATAAAAACTAGCCTAGAAACATGTGAAACTCGAAAAAGTGAATCGAGGTCACCAAAGGTCAATGACCTGACTTGACCAGTCGATGCGTCTCAAAAAGACAAACACAATGAGACCATCCCCAGCGTTCTATCTTTTTCCAATCGCGAGTTATTGGCAAAAATATGTTTGTAGCCTCAACTGACCTCGGATGACCTTTCTGGAGCCTGGAGGCTAATCAGCAAAAAATGACACCTTGGTCATCACGGGTGGTCCAAATCATTGTGATTCTAAAATATTTGGACTGTTCCTATGCGTATACACGGATCTCGCCGTTTGAATTTTGATATCCGGCCTAGTAATTTTGGATTTAAGGTGGGCCTCCTGGCCACTAGAGTTCTGCACGGCTGCAATTTTCCACAGCCTAGCCGCCCCGCAGCCGTGGCTCCACAGCCACAGCCGCCCACAGCCGTGGCAAACTGTGGGCAGCCAGCCGTCAGCCGGCCGTGGATACTTTCAATGAAATGTAACCAAATAGTATATAATAAGTTGTTTTTAGTTGAAACATATAGCCAAAAGCACATTGCAATGGGCTATAGATTCTCAAGCTCATGAAGCATCATAGGTTAAGTGGTTGTGTATCTGGCTTTAGGCCGAAGGCCTGAAGCCTGATGTGCAACGCATGCCTACACAAGCCCTTGCAAGGGGTTAAGAAAGATGGGTAGGTACCTAGGTACCTACATCAACAGAAAACATAAACAATGAACCAGAATAGAAGCACTAGCAGTGTAGACATCTAATGCCAAATCCTGAAGCATGGTTGTGGGACAGAACAACAGACCCTGCTGCTTTTCATTATCAATGTTAGGCATGGAAAATGAAACTCAAGTTGATGGACTGTCAAACAGTGATTGTCTAGTCAAAACTCTTGCTTCTTTCTTACCTTGCATATTTTCTGGGGTGTGATATGCCAGACTTGAAGCAGCCTTCTGGGCAAGTCTCAAACTAATTTGATATGCAAGGCATCAAAACACTAGTGAGCATCCAAGAAAGAGAAACATTCTTCTATTTTGATTTTTCCAAATAATGATCTTCGCTCAAATCCCCAAGGACGTGCGAGCCATAATTACCTCTTTTAATCAAAAATTTTACTTGAGTTTTTAATGACGTCAATAGCAAAGAAGTGGCAATAAATTATTTTGTGTCACTATAAACAGCCATAAAAATTATATTTAATAAATAATAATGCTATACAGTCAAAAACTTGCTCTCAAATAAAGAGTAAGTATCAAATTTTTACATTTTCAGAAGAAGACGTCATTTTTTAGTAAAATCAACAGCTCGCGTAAGAAATATTGTGTTCAGGGTTTTCACCGTCATGTGAATTACGTGTTCAGGGTTTTCACCATCATGTGAATTAACCGTAAGTAAGGTTCATGTTCACTTATAATCTAATTCAATTGGCTTCGTTGATCAGCATTTTCTGTTAGCGGTCACTCACACACCAGTTAGAACATAAAGCGCCAGTTTTATATTATGCAATTGGACTTGCCGAAAATCCAGAAATACATCTAAGAGTTATTTTAGATAATATTTTATGAAGCCTTTACCTGCCTTTACCTAGGCGTGATTTCTTTTTCTATCACCTGAAAGAATTATTGAACGCTCGTCTTCAATAGCTGTAAGGTGCTCTCCTAATGACCAGGTGAGATTGATTTGAGAGGGATGTGACAATGCAACATGCTGCATTTTCTGAAACTGTCAAGCTCTTGATGATGAAGGAACAATTGGTACCTATAATTAGTATTCTGTACCAGAGTGCAAACTCCCCTACAACAAATGGTAAAACCATTACAGGTTTTCAAAGGCCTCACCACTTTCAATGTTGCTGGGCATTCTTTGCATGATTTTTACAGGCTAGACTGCTTATCAGAATGTGAGATTAAGGATTTAAAATTTTATATTGGAGTACTTAAGATTGAGCTTGAAATCTCACAGCCGTGGCCACAGCCGTAGCCGTGTTCTTGGAGATATTTGCAGCCGCCCCGGCCCACAGCCGTGGGGCTGCAGCCAGCCGCGGCTGCAGCCGGCCGGTGCAGACCTCTACTGGCCACCTTCCGCGCGGTGGGGGGGGGGGGGGGCATTTTTTGCCCCCCGTATCTCCGAAACTACTGGACGGGTCCGGAAAATTCAAACGGCGCTCGATAGCCCTGTCAAATTTGTTGAAGGAAACCAAATTTTATTGACCTCGGGGTCACCGATGACGTCACAGGTCAGGTCAAAGATAAAATGTTTCACTTCTAGGGGCTTCTAGGGAAAGCGCTGTAACACCGAGTAAAACGCATTTTGTCGAAAATCAGCGATAGAGCGTCAGTTGTCTACTACATATGTTGCTATTAGAGGTTACTGGTCATACCAGGTCAGGTCACAGGTCAGGTCACCAAAGGTCACCAAGGGTCACCACATGAACCCAACTTTACTAAGGTTGTGCGATGCATGTTTTATGGCCAGTTTTTCATTTCCAACTCAATGGTGTTGTTTATAAGACCATCAGGTACGGTTTAGGTCACTTTCTGGTGGAGGTCAGGTCAAGGTCAGGTCAAAAAACGTCAAATTTCAAAATTGATATTTTTGCATAAAATGGGTATTGATTCCATGCAGCTCGTCACTGGGAGTCTAATGGTGGTCTTTGTTTTGCGCTACGAGGTCTAGAATTGCTAAAAATTGAGTTTGAAAATTTGACGTCATCAATTTTGAACAGTTTTTTCGCTATAACTTGGCCAAAAAAAAGGTATCGATTTCAAATTTGGTATGTAGATAGAAGGCGGTAGGGACTATCACA